CCCAGTGCACCAGGCCTGAGCACTTGTCTCATGCATCCAACCTGGGCTGGTGATCTGTTTCACCCTAGATATACATGTTTCGATGCTGTTCTCTTGAAACATCCCACCCCCGGGTTCTCCCATAGAGTCCACAAGTCCGTTCTATACATCTGAGTCTCTTTTTCTTTTTTCCCAACTGCCACTTTTGAGGAGCCTGGAGCAAAAGCAGGATACTGCACATGCCCCCTGTACACAGCACCACCTAAAGGTGGGCAAACCACCTAAGCCACCCCTCCAGCCCAACTCCTGGACACAGCCCTACCCTCACCCCATATAAGGAAACAGCTTGTCCCCCAACCCATGCCAGGGAGCAAGCAAGGGAACCTATTGTTTGTTCTCACTCCCCGCTCTCTCCCACTGCAGCAGGGACCTCGATAAAGCCTGGCCTGAATCACGTCTGGCCTCTGATCAATTTCTATTGATTAAGAAGGCCAAGAACCCTAGTCCATAATGATATGAAAATATGTCCTCACATACTGTTAAGTAAAGAGAGATGATAAAACAGCATGTGTTTCAGAATCTCATTTTGGTAAATATGTTAGCAACGAGGAAAGTCAAGGACATTAAATAGAAAAGAAGAAAATCAATGGAGGAGTAATCTCTTTATTTTCTACATTGCCTTAATACTTTACAAAACGCCTGCATTACATTTACAGTCCGACGGTATAATAAGGCTATTTTCACTGGTCAGAAAGTAAAGGTATAAACCCCTCACATCTACATGTGGATCCTGGAGCAAAGCTAACAACCGAGCCCAAAGTTGGAGGAATGATTCCCCATTGGCAAAGCCTCTGTTTCCATAACTTCTCTGACTCAACATATTAAATTCTTCACTTTTTTAGGTGATGTGAAAAGTACATTTTTCTTTCGGAGTATGGTGCCAAAAGACCAAAGTTTCTCTAAATGTTACACCTACACCACACATGCACCTCTCATGTGTACATCACACTACACTTACACACACACACACACACACCAAAGACTCCCTCTTCCCAGGGCCTAAAGGCAGGTCAGACTCACACAACTCCCAGGTCAACAAATGCCCAAGCTGAGCAGTCTTCTGAAGCCCCACAGAAATCTCCCCATAAAGACTTATTAGGATTTTGCACTAAGCAATGTCCATGTCACTAGCTAGTCATTTCTAAATGCAGATATCAAACCCACCAAAATACTCCTTAATTCTCCTTATTGTTTCCTTATCTGCAGAGACCTCAGCCCAGAGAGCTGGAAGTTGGGAGACCCAGAGAGCAAGTCCTCTGTGATGGGCTGTAGTTGAGCAGTCAGGATCCCCATCACAGCGCCACCCTACGAGATTCTTTGCAAATGTTGCTTCCACTCTCCAGCCTCAGTTTCTCCATCTGTGAAATGGGGTTATTAACCATTGTTCAAAAGCCTTATAGAGAGGATGGAATGAAACAAGGCAAAGCCCAGATGCACTTGTGAGGTCTGGTGGGCATCTTTTCCACCTTCGGGGAAGAGTTGGTCTCTGGCCTGGTAGACAGCATACACCATAGCTAGACATGCCCATCTCTGCCTGCTATGGCAGGAGATGCCTACCTGCTCCCTGGCACCCTCACCCCAACCCAAATTGCAGCTGATGTCTCCTTAAGCAACTCCTCTGAGTGCCTTCCAGTGGTCCTGAACTCTGGCTGGAGACCAGGGGGATGACCAGAGGGCCCCTTCATAGGCTCTGCTCAGGTTTCTGCCAATGGAGATTAGAGAGAAAGCAGTGTGTTTGCAGCTCAGATGGACATAATTAAAGTCTTAGGGCTGCTGTCACCTCCTCTCTCCCACATGAATACTTTCAGCCACATCCAACCTTTCAGTGTGGCCTGACCCACAAGGAATTCCTGCAGTTCCCAGCAGGAACTCCAAAACTAGCCAGAGGGGGCTATGTGGCCTCCCCAGTGCCAGTTGTGGAGAGCCAGGAGGTTGGGAGGGGATTTTCTTCATCCAAGCTTCAGATTGATGTTTCTCAGCCTTGGCTGTGCATCTGAATCAACTGGGGAGCTTTCCAAGTACTGATGCCCAAGTCCCACACTCAGAGGCTCCAATTTAACCAGCCTGGGGTGCAGTCTGAGCACAGAGATTTAAACAATCTCTCCGGAAGCTCTAAGCCCACCAGAGTTGAGGCCCACTGCAGTGCATTCAGCCCTTGTCTTGATTTTCACCTCTTCCCCAGAACCAGAAGATGGTTTTCCTCCTGCCTTCCTAGACAGAAGGAACTCCTGGGCTGGTCTAAGCTCCAGGAAGCAGGAGCTGTGTTTTGTTTATCACCATGTCCCCAGTGGCCCAGCCTCAGCCCTGACACAGACTAGGGGCTCAGTGAACACTGGTGGGATGAGGTGCATGTGACTGAATGAATGAAATGATGAACAAATCCCATCCCTTTCACCTTTTGGGTACCCGAAATTCTCGAAAGTGTGGTCTGCAGACCAGCACCGTCATATCAGCTGGGAGCTTATTAAAAATGCAGATTCTCAGTCCAAGGCCCAGCCCGATCCCAGGTGGTTCATGGGCAACAACTATATTACTGGTTCTACCATTGATTAGTGGTTCTCCCACTTTGCTGCACATTAAAATCACCAGTGAAAGTATATATCTGCCTGTGGCCTTTTGGGTCCCCAGGTGATGGCTAACTGTCCCCAAGTGATTCCAGTGTGCTGTCCAGGTTTGGAACTCTGGTACCATAGATCTCTCTGGCCACAGCAGCCTCTAAGCAGACCCGATCTTTTTTTTTTTTTAATCAGAGTATAGTTGCTTTTGAATGCTGTGTTAGTTCAAAGTTTCAACGTTAGTTTCACTTTGTGGCTGTATCACAAAGTGAATCAGCCATAGGTATACGTATACATATATCCCCTCCTCCCTGAACCTCCTTTCTATCCCCTTCCCATCCCACCCTTCTTGACCATCACAGAGCACCGAGCTGAGCTCCCTGTGCTATGCAGCAGCTTACCTCTAGCTATCTGTTTTACACACGGTATTGTATATATGTCAATTCCAATCTCCCAGTTAATCCCCCCTCCCCTTCCCCCACTGTTTCCACACGTCAAGCAAACCCAATCTTGGCTCTGGCCCACATGAGAGAGGCCCCCTTTTAGGATAAAGGCCAAACCCTCTGCAACACAGCAACCAGTCATTCAACTCTACACAGCCAGTGGGGAGAGACCACCAAGTTCAAATCCTGCCCCTGCCACTTTCTAGCTGAGTGACTCTGAACAAGTCACTCAACCACCCCAGGCCTCCATTTCCCCCTTCTGTACCATGGAGCTGATGAGGGGAGAGGGGAAGGGATGGACACTACTCCTAGAGCTGGGTGACAATTAGATGGCTTAGTCAATCTGAAGCACTTAGAACTGAGGCTGAAGTTTCCTTGGCGTCTGTATCAGGCTTCCTAAGAGAAGAATTTAGAGGAAGAGAGACTGGATTAAGAAACTCACTTCTGGAAACTTTGCTTTCACAAAGAGGGCAGAAGAGAAGTAAAGGTGGTCACAGTGCAGGGACCCTCTTGGGAAAATCGAGACTAAATGAAGAGTTTTAGCCATCACCCTTCTTTGCTTTCATTATTCGTGAAGAAAAATCCTTAGAGAGAGTTCCCAAGCCCAAGCGTGGGAATTGAGAGGCAAGAGTAAGGGTAACTCGGTCAGTTCCTCCCTCAGAATGGTCCCCATCTTAAAAAGGCAGGCTTTCGCCATTGTGCCCAGGACCGGGGCTGTTCCAACTTAGGCACGGTCGAGTATTTCTCCGTGGATTTCCCGGGGCCTTCCCAGAGCTTATTCCCAGGCCCTTCCCTCGCTCCAGACCAGGGTGAGTGGGTGTGGGGGGTGTGTGTGTGTGGTATGTGGATGTGTCTGTGTGTTGCGCGTGCGAAGGAGGGAGGTGGGGTGCCAGCAGATTCTGTACTGAAAAATGGTGCCCTTCCTTCCTTCCTTCCTCCCGAAGGCTGCGCTCTCGCCTGTCCCCGCTGCAAACAGGCCAGGCCGGGCTGGGGGGCGCCGCTCCCGGCCTGAGCGGGGCAGCTGCCCTCTGCGGCAGACGACGGTGCGCGATTCCAGCTCCAGCGCCCCGGCTGCCCGGCGGCCAGCGCGCCCTCCTGGTGCAGCAGGCGGGCGCTGTGACGTTCCCGGATAAATGCCGTGTAACTGTGTAGGCGAATGAGAGCTAAAAATAAGAACGGAAAATCTATCATTAAGGTATCATTGCGCCAGCGCAGCTATTTGAAGGCTCCCATGGTCCCTGGCGCCTGCGTTTGAAGCCCGCCTTCAGGCTTTGGAGGGTATTTGCAGAAAACTGCCAGCAGCGGCTCGCTAGCCAGACCTCGGGGCGCAGGGGTGGCGCCCATAATTATGGCAACACTCAAAATAAATTAAAAATAAATGCTCACTTCCCCCCTCCACATCTCCGCCTGTATTGTCCTCAGGTCGCTGGGGAAGCCACCAGAAGTAGGGTTGGATGCTGAAATGATGTGACCTGGCCGGTTAGGCAAATATTAGAACTGAAAGCTCTTTCAGGTCCATTTCGCCATCCACCTTCCTCCATCCACCTCGGAAAAGAAAAATAAAGTACCAGGAAGGAGCCTTTGGAGGAGAAAATAACAAATGGGACTTAACCCCAGGTCTACAGTGCGCTGCGGCGGGGCGCAAAGACGCCAGCTCCCAGGATGGCGAGCCTCTGGTGTTCCTTGGGTTAAACGAAAATTGATCTGGTTTGTTAACACCCAAAGAGGAGAAGAGGAGATCGGGGGAGGGAGGACAGGATTTGTGTTTGTGCGTGTGCGCGTGTGTCCGGGGAGAAGGAGGAGGCGCCAAGGTGCAGCCTGCGCGCGGCTCTGCGCCTCGGCGGGCTGCGTGCGTGTGTCCCTGTCCGCGCTGCTGAAACGGGCTCTTCGAGGGATCAGCGTCACATGACTCCGCCTGCCCCTCGCCAGCGCGCAGCTCGCCAGTCCCTCCGTTTGCCTGGCGCCGGGGGAGGGTCGGGAGACATCTCCAGGGCCCCGGGGCTCTGCGGAGCTGAGAAGAGGTTCCGGAGGGGAATGGTACATCTGGATTCCAGCAGCCGCGGCTCGGCGCCAGATCCCAGACTGTAGAGATTTTGGCGGGGGAGGGGAGAGCGCGAAGGAGCGAGCGACAGAGAGAGCGCGCAGCGCGCACGGACCGGGGCTGCCGGGTTCCGCGCGGAGAAGATGTAAGCGCGTGGAGTCGAGCTGGTCTCCGAGCACCATGCAGAAGGGGATCCGGCTGAACGATGGCCACGTCGCGTCCCTGGGGCTGCTGGCGCGCAAGGACGGAACGCGCAAAGGCTACCTGAGCAAGCGGAGTTCGGACAACACAAAATGGCAAACCAAGTGGTTCGCGCTGCTGCAGAACCTGCTCTTCTACTTCGAGAGCGACTCGAGCTCGCGGCCCTCAGGGCTCTACCTGCTGGAGGGCTGCGTCTGCGACCGCGCGCCCTCCCCCAAACCTACGCTCTCGGCCAAGGAGCCGCTGGAGAAACAGGTGAGGCCAGCCCCGGGGCTCCGGGCCTTTTGCCGGCCGAAGGCGCCCGAACTTTATTCCCTCTACTTTCAGCGCCCTCGGAGAGATGGGAGGGTTGGCCTGAGCGGGATGTAACCCGCGGTGGCCAGAGGGGGCCGGGACTGCAGGCAGGGAGCGGGTGTGGGCTGCGGCTGTCCTGCACCCGGCGAGCTCGGCAGGAGGCGGGCACAGAGCGGGCGAGACGCGGAGGTGCGGAGGGAGACGCGGTTTAGAGAGAGCTGGGGTTTCTCGGGACAGACAGAAACAATGAATAGAAGCACATCCAGCCAAAAATGGTGCTCCCACCCCGGAGAGCCCCGGACAAGGTAGCTGAATTTCCCCGCGCTTAGGCCCGGAAAGGGTGAGACCGAGGCGTCCGAGCGCCGCGGCCCCTACCTCACCACGGCGGGAGCGAAGACGAGCCAAGTTAGGGACTGCGCGCAGGGGTCGGTTCGGTGCCATCGACCAGTGGTGAATTCCCAGCCGTCTCCAAGCCCAAGCAACAAACCGAAGGGTTCCGGGGACCCTTCTGACGCGCTGGGGCCGGGTCTGGGGCTGGGGCCGCTGCGGAGGCCGCGGGACAAGTAGGCACATCTCTCACCCCCGCCCCCTGCGCCGCCGCCGCAGTCGCGCCTCTAGCGCTGCCCTGGGGTTTCCGGAGTTGCGAGAATGAAAGTCGAGGCCTGGATGGACCGGGGACCGGGGTGCCTTGGAGGTGAGCCTTTGGCATGGGGGGATGGAGTAGGACCTGCGGCCGCCGAGCGAGAACCGCAGACAGCCGGAGAGCGATTTTTATGCTTGCTGCGCTCTCCAAGGGCATCCATCCCGATGCCTCGGGAAAGGTAAAGTCAAAGATAGCTGATGCTAAAATGTCACCGCTGCGAGGGACCTGCGATCCGACGGGAACTAACCAGCTGGTTACTGCGTGGTTGAAGAACAGAGGCCAAAAGAGAGAAATTTGCTTGCCCAGTGTCATCCCAGGAGTTAAGGCCACCTTAAGGTTCTGAGAAGAGAACTGAGGGCTCGAAAGCCATTACTGCAGGCAGACTGGCAGCGATTGAATTGAATTAAATAAAAGCATCATTGAAGTCGCCCTCCTGATGGTCCAAGACAGAGCTCTGAGCTCAGACCCTGCAGCGTGTCTCTCCCTGCCCTGCCCACAGCCCATAGGTGCTGGGAGATGAATTGGGAGGCTGGGAAAGGTGGACAGGAGTATTTGAGGATGGATCTCTGAGAATGATGTGCCTCCTGGCAGATAGGGGCCCTCAGATGGCAAAGTGATGCAAAAAACAGGCAGCTCCTTAAACTCAAGGCAAAAATGGGGCCTGGAAGACTCCCCTAGGAGAGGCAAACCCAGCCTGGGCCAGAGATGCTCTCACAGCCTTGACAACCTGCTCTTTACTGGTCTTCCAGAACAGTATCAACACTTGCCGGCCAAAGTTCACCCATGGCCTAGAGCCCCAACTAGCGCCCATCCTCAACTTCTTATACCAGAGCAGAGCTGAGCTCCCAGGCAGGCAGGGAGAAAGGGCTGATGGAAACTGAGCTGCTATTGGGCTCACAGTGTCTGCTCTCAGCCCCTTGGACCAGGAACAGGCCTGAGATGATTCGCAGCTCTGCAACTTCCTGTCTGTGTGACCTCAGTTAACACACTAAACTTCTCTGAGCCTCTGTTTTGTAATCTACAAAGTGGAGGTAATAACACCTATCTTTTGGGGGTTTTGAGAACACATATAATGTGTATGCAAGGATGCTCACGGTCCATTTTATTTTGATGTTTTAGTTTGAATCTGAATGATACCCACCTGGCCAGGGAGTAGAGGCCTAACATAAAATGTTGAAGCTGAAAGGAACCTCGGAGAGATTGTAGGACGCACTCCTCCCGTTTTACAGACAGGGAACCCTGGAGAGCAGATTGGGAAGAGCATTATCTACCTTATTCAGATTGAGTGGCAGAATTAAGACCTAGAATTCATCCAGTGTCTTAAGAATTCCTAAAAATCCCCTCTTACATTGATTCTAAATCATTCACCTTTGGGTTCAGGTGTTGAATCATGCTAGCAGTGGATTATGGGAGGGATGAGCGCAAAGCCAATTGGCGGTGTCCTCACGTGATCCAAGCCATTTTCCCAGAAGAGCAATGGTCAAGAGATCCTCCAGTATGGTCGTGAGAGTAGCCTTCCTGGCATAGGAGAACAGAAGAGGGTTGAGAATAGTAGGTGGCCATCTGGTACTGCCCAGCTCAGGTGCAGATTTCTGTTAAAGACGTGTGCTTTGTCTTATACACGTCTGTAGATGGTCCATTTGACTCCAGGCCAAATTTGGCTGCTCCTTTGCACTGCATGTATCTATAAAAATTTATAGCTTTTTGTTTTCTAAATCTTTGAGTAAAATTGATGGTGCCAGCAGCAGATCGGTGTTTCTCCTTGAATTGGAGTCCCTGTGGCACCTACAGTGCACCAGCATGAGAGGCCCAGCTCCAAGCCATTCTGTGACTAGATTTGCCTTGCAAACCACAGGAAACCTAGATTCAAAACCAGCTGGGCATGTGGCAGAGAACCCACATGTGAGGGGCCACGAAAGGCTATCAGTTTGACTGGACTGGCAAGTATCTAATGAAGACTCGATTTTAGAAGAATGTCATTTTTATCCAGTGGAGAAGGACATGGCAACCCACTCCAGTACTCTTGCCTGGAAAATCCCATGGACGGAGGGGCCTGATAGGCTACAGTCCATGGGGTCTCGAAGAGTTGGACACGACTGAGCGACTTCACTTTCACGTTTCATTTTCATGCATTGGAGCAGGAATTGGCAACCCACTCCAGTATTCTTGCCTGGAGAATCCCAGGGACAGAGGAGCCTGGTGGGCTGCCGTCTATGGGGTTGCACAGAGTCAGACACGACTGATGTGACCTAGCAGCGGCGGCAGCAAGCAGGCAGCATGTCCACCTGGGAGGATCAGGGTTAGTTTCTCTAGAAATAAAAACCAAGTCTTGGCTGGAAACTACCCCAGTGACAGGGATGCATGAGGAATGAAGCACACAGTAGGTGCTCAGGAGCTACTTATGGAGCTGAACTTATTGGTGTGTCCTTGTTAATTCCACACTCCATGTCCTCAATACTGACTGTACAGCAGTCCAGGCCCTGAGCTGTGCCATAGGCCCAGGAAGCTTGGGTGTCATAGTCCCCAGGAATATGAACACAGATAAAGATGTGCTAGAGCTGTACAGGCTGTGAAGATGCTCAAGTAGGATATGCAGGGGCTCTGGGAGCCCAGGCCACCCTAACATGATGTACTGTCCTCTGGCTGCTTCTGCGCTGGTCTGACTGCCTCTGGTGCAGCCCTAACGTCTTGAAGCCCTGACTTGGGATCCCAAAGCCTCATAAAGTCACAGAGGCTCAGCCATGCTCCCCTGCCAAGCGGCAGTTGCAAGCACTCCCTACACACTGGCCTGAGCCCTGCTTGTTCAGTCCTGACCTCCTCGCCTCTGACCCTATGGCCCACACACTGACGACCAAGAGACTCTGAAAGGAAAATTTGGGTTCAGAAATTGATCCTGAATGTTCCTTTTTTAAGATTTTTTTTTTTATGTGGACCATTTTTAAAGTCTTCATTGAATTTGTTCCAATACCGCTTCTGTTTTATGTTTTGGTCCTGTGGCCGCAAGGCACGTGGAAATCTTAGTTCCCCGACCAGGGATGGAATCCATACTCTTTGCATTGGAAGGTGAAGGCTTAACCACTGGACCTCCAGGGAAGTCCCAACCATGGGTGTTGTTGCTCTACTTCGGCATGGAGTCACCCCACACTGGCTTTTTCTACCGTCATTCCCAGCTCTCTGAAACAGAGCTGCCAGCCCCAACTTCTCAGGCATGGACTTGACCAAACCGACCCCAGGACTCCCTTATCACCCCACCAGGGAGGGTCAAAATGTAGACCCCAGGCTCTTCCTGATCCCTTCATCCAGAACCTCATCACTGATATGGGCAGAGGGTCCAGAAGCTGGGGGACCACAGTACCTGTTGTCCACCTGTGGGTGCCTTTCCCTGGAGACCAGATGAAGGCCCTCTCCTGGTCCTCTTTTCTGGGTGGCCTGCTGTCTCCATGTTAAAGACAGCCATAAGTCCATGAGCATTCCTGCTTTGCAGATGAGGAAACAATCTCATCCACACCACCGAGCAAGGTAGTGGCCGAAATGCTCTCTGGCTTTCTCTGCAGCGGCACTGTCTTCACCACAAAGCCTGCCCTCCAATTGCTATAGCTCATCCTGCCTCTTGGCCAATCAGAAAAGCACAAACCTGAATGCAGGGAAATAAGCTTACTCTAAAAGCAACGCCCCTCAGACACAAGGATGTTACACACACACACACACACACACACACACACGTGGGGCCAGCAGCTCAGCCTGCCGTACTTGCACCTCTGGAAGGACCAGCAGGGCTGTCCCCTTTTCCGGTTTCAGACCAGGGCTGGGCCAGGAGATGTGGGACCCCAGGGTTCACTGTGGAGGGGACTCATGTCCCCATCCCAGCCCCCAAATATTTCTAGCACTGACACAAGGTTGAAGAGCCTCAATAATTACACCTTGTGTGTGTGTGTGTGCACACGTGTATTCAGTTGTGTCCAACTCTTTGCGACCCCATGGATTACAGCCCACCAGGCTTCTCTGTCCATGAGATTTACCAGGCAAGAATCTGGAGTGGGTTGCCATTTCCTCCTCCAGGGAACCTTCCTGACCCAGGATCGAAGCTGAGTCTCCTGCACCTCCAGCACTGGCAGGCGGGTTCTTTACCAGCTCAGCCAGTGGGGAAGGGCTAGTGACACCGTAGTTGGGATGTTTATTTGTGCAGTACACAGTTTGGCTCTCTGTGTCAGGCCGATACCCAGTCCTGTGGATACAGAAAAAAATGAAATTGATTCCCTGTCTTTAAAGAGCTCACCATGGAGTAAAGCACACCGTAAATGCCAAGTGCCAGAATTCT